ATTTAATTGGTTATTTTATGTTGGAGTGACTTGCCCACAATTTTCATTTTCTTTGTTTTGTTTGTATGTTATCTATGCAGGCAGGGTACTGTGCTGTGCTCCTCTGTTCACTAGTTGACAGCACTTATACGCTCACCACCTGTCTCCTTTCCTTTGTCAGCCTCTCGTATGTCCTTGCTGACCCTGGGAAACAGAGCCTGTTCTTGGGTCCCTGGAATCTGAATCTATTTTTACTTTTTAAAGAAATCAAGTAACATATTGCATTGGGGAAATCTGCAAAAGACCTCTTCAAAGTGTTTAAGAGCAAAGGTACTATTTTGAAGACTAAGGTGTGCCTCAGAGCCAAGCCATGGTATTTTCAGTAGCCTTATATACATGTTAGAGCTGTACGATGAGTAAGGAAAACTGCAGAGGAATTGATGCATTTGAATTGTGCCATTGGCAAAGAATATTGAATGTACCATGGACTGCTGGAAGACTGTATTGGAGTAGTACAGGCCGAATGCTCCTTGGAAGCGAGAATGGCCGTACTTCATCTCACTTACCTTGGTCATGTCGTCAGAAGGGACCATTTCCTGGAGACAGAGATGCTTGGTAAAGTAGAGGGTCAATGAAAAAGGGGAAGGCCCTCAGCAAGGTGGGCTGACACCGTGGCTGCAACGACGGGCTCAAGCACAGCAAGGACTGGGAGGTTGGTGAGGACCGGGCAGCGTGTTGTTCTGTTGTACACGGGGTCGCTGTGAGTGGGAACCAGCTGGACGGACAACAACAACAAAGACAGACTTGAGCATAAGTGCTAAGAGGAAGGAGAGTGGAGAAGTCTGAAGTCTGGAGTTCGTGTGTCCACCAAGAGATGACCAGTGTGACTGACTAGGGTCATGTGTCTTTATAGTTGCCTGAAAGAGTTCGCTTTTCATGGCTTCTCTTTTCTTTCCTTTTTTTTTCTCTCCCTTTTAAAATTGGAGTCAAGTTCATGTGCCTACATGTAACCCCTGAGAGTTCCCTGAAGCAAAAATGTGCCAGTTGTTTTTTAGTGCTGACAGTGGTTTTTCAGTGTTACGCTCACCCCATCTGGTTTATGATGCTTGGTGACTGTATTTACAGTATATTCCCTTTTCTTAAGACTTCTAGCAGACCGCTTTTAGTGTCTTGAAGTTTTCAGCCTCTCCTGCTGCTAGCTGCTGGTAGCAGTGAAGGTCTCTGAATGTGCCTGTTGTCAACTAAATAAGGCTCGTTCAGTTGAAGAAAGAAAAGTGTAATTAGGGTTGTGGGGACATCTGACCCCGTCTGACTTCACAAGGAGGGGAAACATTGTCTGCATCAGCAGCCCAAGGCTAATTCCTGCGAAGTGAAAGTCAGACGCCACCTCCAGCCTTTTCACCAGTCCTGGCCCCAGCCGCCCCTCCCACGGCAGGCACTCTTTGCTGGGCGCAGTAATTCAGTACAGTGGCCACACACAAGTCACAGAGCATGCTCACGTGAACAGGATTCTCCATCGATTCGGTTCTGGCTCCTAGGTGCCCGGTGTAGAGGAGAATGAAACCCTGCCCGGGCCTGCGCCATCCTCATGTTTATTTGGAGAGCGATGGGGGAAGAGAGATGCGGGTCGGGTGAGGACTGCCCAGGAGCAGGAGCTCAGAAGACGGACAGAGAAAGCCTTTCCCAGAGCGGGTGCCCTGAATTCAGGCTTCGAGCCTCCCCAACCGTGAGAAGATATGTTTGTTTGTTAAAGCCACCCATGTCTCAAATACTGCATTTTTTATAGTAGCTTGTTGGAATCAGAATTCAAATAAAGTCTATATGTTTTGTCAGGATCAGTCTTTTAAACATTTTTTTAGTGTCTAGGCTTCCCTGCCTGTCTCTTCCCTTCTCCCCTACTTTCTTTTGTATTTGGGATTTATTTGTTGGAGAAAATATGTTCAGTGGTTTCCTACAGTCTAGATATTCTTACTACATCCTCATTGTGTAGTTTAATGTATTCCCTATAAATTGGTTGTAGGATCTAGGTCAATACGATTCAAATTCTTTTTTAAGTATATTTGATAATTGGTGTCGGGTTCTATTAAGGAGGTAAACGATGTCTGATTGCACTCTACTGAGATTCATTAAATCATTAAGGATTGAAAAATGCTGATGATCTAATTCTGTTTTTCCTATGATACGGGATATTTCCAGAAAGAGAAACTTCTCCTTATTTGCTATTGATTACTGAGTGGTCCAGTCTGTATGGACAAGGAGGAATAGCTGCCTTTTGTTCCTTCTTTATTTACAGTGTGCAGCATGGGTTGGTCTCGCAAGTTTCCTGTAATGGTGACCAGTTAGATTGATGACTTAGAGTGACTCACGGATTTAAACAAACGGAACGTTTAGATCCACTGCAGTCACTGTCCTTATTGCTGCTCGTGCTGCTGTCCTTGGACAGTGAGCTCCTGTTCAGGCTGGCTCCCGAGTCCTTTGGCACAGCTCTGGCGGGCTTGGATAGCATCTCTGATCTCTGGTAGGAAGAGATGTGCCAGGCCCAGCTTGTTTTCTGGATCTGAGGTTTGGTTTGGTTTTGTAGTCCCTGAAACCCGGAATCAGCCTGTTCTCAAAGACAATTGGATTCCTTTTGATGAAAGGTGGATTTGGAGACCACAGTCTGTGTACTAGATATGTGGTTGCTCTTTTAAGTACATCTTTGATCCATTTTGGAATTTGTTTTGCTATAAGGAGTGAAGTATGGATCTAACTGACTTTTTTCCAGGTAGCTACTGAGTTATTGTAACACAACTCAGTCTGTCGTCGCCAAGTGGGTACAATGATGGGCTCAAGCGAAGCAAAGATTGTGAGGATGGGGCAGGAGCAGGCAGTGTTTCATTCCGCTGTACACAGGGTCACAATGAGTCTGAGCCGACTCGGCAGCTCCTGATGAGGACAGCGTGTAAGAACTGAGCTGGGCTTTTATATGAATTCGTTTTTGCTGCGGAACAAGCTACACCAAAGCTGGAAAGCCTGGCCGAGGTCGGCTTAGATGCTGGTGAGTTTTCTTGGGCTGCCATGACAGAAGATCACAATCTGATGGTTTGTAATAA